TTTATTTTAGCAAAATCAGAAAGCTGAAAAATGGGAAAAGACGTAAAAGATCTGCTTTATTCTCTTAGGGTCGGAGCTGTTTGGGACTCTAGATGTTCCGACACAAAGCTCTTGGATGGTCTTGTTTCTCCAACTGCACTGTTGCTGGCATTGCTTTAAGGCTCAGGAAGCGCCTGAAAGCAAAAGTCTATGTGCGTGTGGATTCACACTGGTGTAAGGTATGGATTTTAAAAGAGCAGGTTCGATTTTCAAACTAAACAGTTGCTTTTCTGTGCCAGCATTTGCACACCCAGCGATCCACTTGTGTGTCTGCTTCAATTTAGCAAATGCTCGTTTTCCATCTCTTAACGTACGTGTCCGAACCCTGGCTGCTGTGTGCAAAAGGAGCGTGTAAATGAAAATGAAGGCTGTGCTGGGGCCATGTACTAGATGGTCTGGTGGACTCAGGACTGGTTATGTTGGCCCACATTGTCTGGTTTTATGTATTGGTGGGTATTAGCATGTAAATTCTTTTAAGCTGTAGTCTCACCCTCAGTCATCTCAGAGATAAAATTTTGGAGAGAGAAAAAACGAGATGATGAGGTTAAAGTGAATTGTTGGGAAGTTGAAGTCTAAAGTGGAAATAAATGAGAAATAAAACCCTTTTTAAAAGTGGAGAGAAGTATTTTCTTGCTATTTTTCATCTCCCTGGCTTGAGTGAGTGTGTGTCGTGAGGCTGCAGAGATTTATATTCACAGCTCCTAAGCTCTGGTGCTTGTTCAGAAGCTGTATTATTCCAGCCCTTTTTATTCACTCACCTTCTAAAGATGTAGTGTAAATATTTATCTTCCCTCCTGCCCATCCACACTGCTCAGGACCCAGCGCTGTTAAACACTGTTATCACCTCATCAGTCTTATCTCCTGTGATCCCTGCCAACATTTGGAGTCTGTCAATGGGAACGAGCAGGTGCCTCAAATGAGCAGAAAGAGGAGGTGATGCGGAGGAAATAATACTTTGAAATAGAGCCTGCATGGGCTGTCCCTCCGAAGGGAGAGGTTAGAGCGAATGTTTTCTGCTGCGCTTTCCAGGCTGGTGACGTCTGCGCTTGGAGATGTGACTGAAGGCGCAGAGGTGAGGTCTCAGCGTGGACCATTGCTCAGGGAGTTACGGCGGTGCCACACAGACCCTCACGGCTGGTGGGGGGGCTGTCCAGCCCCGGCTTCGTCACAAATATGGGGTTTAGGTGAACCAAAGCTGGCCTAAATAAGTAGCGTGAGTTTGGTTTTCTTCTTTCTGTACTCGTGCTAAGTAAAACCCGTGGGATGGAGGGAGGGAGGGTGTCTCCCTCAGGGCTGTCCTCCCATTCGCAGAGGTTTCGGCATGTGGCTTGGAGAGCAAATGAGGCAGGTCTGGAAGATCAAGGTTTACATAACACGGTCTTAAAAGCTGTCCTGCGAAACCAACAGAGTCAAGCACTGGCACATCAAGGTCTGCTCGCCACCACAGGGCAGCGGGAATTGCCCTTTATAACACCTGCAGCATCTCAGCGGGGCTCAGCCAAGCCGTTTCTGTGTCTCTGCCCCTCAGTGCAGAAACCTCGTGTTAGGTTAAGTGAGGTACAGAAGTTTTCAAGGAATGAACATGGGATGGCAACACCAATATAATCCTATCACTTATAAGACAAAATTGACGTGCCGTAGCCATAGTACCACTTAACGGATAAGGCAGTTGGTCCATCTGCGCTTGGTCCATCTTCTCTCATTTCTCTTGCTTAAATTTCTCGGGAGCAGAACAAAATCCTGTTATCCAATAAGTTACCCACTGGTAGTTGGATTTTCATTGAGTGACATCTGTCGCAGACCACGGACGTAGGAGGTGCCGGTGTTTCTGTAGCGTCTTTGTTTTGATGGTTTTAGTAGACATGGACGTTTGGGTTTCTTTTTTGAGTCTTTGGAAATGCTCTCACCTCTCTTGAAGGCAGTGCAGCTCAGCCCTTATCCTGCTGTGGCCAGATGTGCCACAGGCACAAGGGACAGCACACAGCAGTAGGACATGAGAGCGAAGCTTGGAATTGATCTGCTGTTGGTCAGTAACTCATGTGCAGGACCAAGCACTCCTACATTTAAGCGTGTAATAGTCTTCCTTTCTGGTCGTCTTCTGTCAGCTCATATGGGTTCTGCCATTTCCATAAGCTCCTTGTTTTTATAGATGCGGTTTGGCTAAAAAGGCTCTGGAACAGGACCTGCCAGTGCCTTGCAAGCCAAAATCAAAGCTGTACAGAAGCGCTGTGTGTTACTGATCCGTGTCTGGCCTTTTCCCTCTCTTCTTTGGAAGTTCAGTGAATCAGAGCTCTGGTGTCATCCTTTTTAACCTCTCACATTGACATCAGTTCGGCTGATGTGTGACGTTGAAAAGGCATTTCTCTGGCGTAGAGCAGAGTTTGGTGTTGGCCTCGGAGCTGCCCATGTCTTGCATTCCCTGACACCAGCTTCCCTGCTCAACACCTCCCCTTTCTGCTCCTCTCACGCTCCTATCAGGGGAAAAAAAAAGTCTTTAATTTCTATTAACATGCTTTAGCACAGAAATGATAATGCAGTGTGATTACCTAACTTGCCATAGGTACTGTTTGGAAATCACTGGTTACAGTATTCAGCTTTTTACATTACAAATTTATCAAATTATTAGCTTCAGTACTTATTGATAGACTCAGTCTCGTACTTGCAGTTCTGTATGTTTTACACTTCCATAATGTGAAAGCTAAACTGGAGACAAGTGAACAACTGTGACAGACACCCCCCTCCAACTCAGTGCTTTGTATAAAAGCAACCAAAAAAATCCTGATGGGTTTCAATGGGGACGAAATAGCTGCCCAGCCAGGTGAGCAAAACGGTCCGTCTCATCACCGCCGGCGTCTCTGCTTTCCTCTTGGCTTTAGAGGATTCTGTCCTGGCTGCGACATGGCAATCCGCTGCCAGTGATCCTAGGCCGGGCTGGTGACATTTGCCGGTGCCGGCAGCAGCAGGCTGGCCCTGTCACCTCAAAGTTTGGGGTCGCTTGTCCCGACAGAGGCACGTCCTGGGAGAAGGACACACCGTGCCGTGCCTCAAATGCTCCAGAAACCGTTACTTTCTGTCACGCATTGGGAAGCATCCCTTGCATCAACACCAGCCGCAATTCACCTTAAGACCACTTCAAAACAAACATTTCCAGGGCCTGGTAGGCGACGTTCATCTCCTGTAATTTCTGCAACGGAAGCTGTAATCCTCACTTTTCACGGCCCGTCTTCGATTAGTTTCCGGGTGTGACCGTTTTGCGCTGAAGGCTCAGAGTTGCCGTACCTAGAGCCAGGCACATCAGGCTCCAATCAGCCACAGTCCTCCAAAAAAGCCAAATCAAAGAGGGATTTGAGATGAGCAGCCTCCCAAGGGCATTTCAAGGCCCTTAGTGAGTGACCACACTAGAGCTTTTTTCCATTTACCTGGATTAAAATTTGTCACAGAGAAAAATACAGGCAAATAGCGTAGCGTCTGAGAAGTATAACGAATAGCATTTGGCGAGCCATCAGGCTCAAAGGGGGAAAAAAAAAATCTACAGTGTAAATAAAGTGTTTGCATAACATAGGATTAATAGTTCTTTTTAAAAACCACACAGGGATTAAAGGGACGCATTTCATATGCTGGGACTTGCGCTCTGTTCTTAGCCCAATATATGCCAGAAAGTACATCTAAGGGAAATAAAAAGCCTTGTTAGCCCAAAGCTTACTAAGTGCTTTCTGCAGGACTTTGAAGGAGGCTGTAGTATACCTGGAGTATGTCTTTTATAAGGTAATTTTTTAGCAAAGCGTTCCCCTGGAAGGGGATTTCTGCTGCACATCTCCAGTCCCATTCACCTGCGGATTTCGAAGGCCATGAATGGAAGGAAAAATCTCACATACCCCGCCCCAACCTTTTGCGTGGAAAAGGCATGAAACTGATGTTTAGGCAGCAAATGCCAGTTACATCTGGCTTTTCTCTTTTGTCCCTGTTGCTCCTGCATTTGTTCTGTTAGTGCAACATCCCAGAGCCAAGCACCTCTCACCTTGAAACAAAACTCCTTCCTAGTTCCACAGCTAAAAGGGGTTAAAATCAAACAGAGTAACAGGCTGGGAAACCAAAAGTCTCCAAACAGCTATGGGTGGGATTTCTACCTGTTGTCCTGTTCCTCCAGAATCCGTGGCAGGCTGCAGAATTTGCACCTTAATCCCGAAGACGCTGGTAATTAAAAACTTAAGTCTCCATAAACAGATGCAAATAAATTAAGGAGGCGAAGAACTGAATTAGAGGCTAATCCTGGTGGGTAGTGAAAGCAAAGTAGGGGCTGGTAATTCTTTCCTTCTGGTATTTCACCTGTTCTCACGGCAGGATGAGGCTGCGGCACGGTGCCTGGGCGCTCATTCCCAAATGCTGAGCCCTTTCCTCACGCTCGTGCGGCAGGGCTGCCAGCAGCCCCACAGAACTTACCTGGGCTTTGGGTCCACCTTTGGCCAGACCTGAATTCTCTAAGAGCAGAGGCCAGAGATTTATTCAGGTGGAAGGAAAGAGGAAGTTTTTTGACCCCTTGTGCTCAAGAGTAGGGTGTACTGAGCTGTGCCAGCATCCCGGTGCTTTCCCCTTCTCTCGAAGGCCGAGCTTGCCCAGAAGCATCTTGCACTGAAGTATCAGGATTGGTGAGGGTCCCAAAGCAAGGCCGTAGGACTGAAATCCGTCATTTTTATGGGCTGAAGTGATAACGCTGTGAACTGAATTATACTCGTGTCATGACGTGATCCACGCACTCTTACGGGTGGATAGATATCGATTATCCATCAATATGGATTGATGGCAGATGATGATTCAAAGCCTAACTGCCAGGTAGCTGGGTGTCCTGGGCTGTTGGTCTAGTTAAAATATCGCTGTGTTTCGCCGTATTTAAAACAGGGATTTACCTGTATCCCCGGAACCTTACCTCTACCTCTAAAATCAAGTGTCTTTCTCTTTTCCAGGACGGGGAAGGCCAGACTGCACTCCATTATGGTAAGTTGCCTTTCAGCTTGGTTGTTCCCGCTTAACAGGATGAATTTGCAGCTGGTGGAAATGGTCTACGCACAGAAAGCAAATTTCAGCAGAAATATGGGCAGGGAAGCTGGATTTGATTAACCAGCGGCTATCTATCTCCACCGGCAAATCCCAACATGGTAGGAGTGGGAGAAGCAGCGAGGAGCACTGCTGTCACCCCTTCATCCTCCTCTGCAAATGTCACCTTAAAGCTTTTCTTTTTCCCCCCATTAGTGACGCACTTTCTGCCGAGTTTTCCCTGGGTGTCTCTTGGATGCGGTTGTGCTACCTCCAGGCGCAGGAGTGGCTCTGGTTAGGGGGTGTTAAGGTTGAGAGGAGGGTCTGTACCAGCTTTAATGCTGGTGAGGGGAAGAGGACAAGCAAGGTGGCCTTCACCTCCATGTGGCCGGGTGACAAACCTATTTGATCGCAGCTGAGATAGCAGCAGCTTCTCTGCTAGCAAAACAGGCAGAACGAAGTTACAGTTTCTGCCCCTCTTACAATTACGTGCTAATTAGAGGTGAGATTTTGCAGCAATGCTTTTAATTGAAAGATCGTTCTGTCTCCAACTGAGAAAAGTTAGAGGCTAAAGTGACACGTGTGGTGCCGATGTGCAGGGAATAGGAAAAAAGGTATTGATTGAATCTGTGTCATTTTTTTCCCCAAAATTAAGACATACCGGTTCTTATTTTATACTCTCTCTCTCGATGCCTGCCACTGTGTAATTAAGAGCACACTTGTCATTCTGAAGTGTTTGTGTCTTTTTCTCCCCTATGGTCTCTCCACAAGGACATTAGCAGGATGGCAAAATCGCTTTGCCGACCTTCAGTCCAAGGCACAGCGTTTGGATCTGGATCTAAACTCCCAGATTCCAGGGCCCCTGAACCGAGACTTTAATTACAATAATGTATGATTTCTGTAGGATATTTTATTTTTCAAATCCTTATCGTTCTGACTCAAGTAGCGAACATGTTGCTTAGTGCTGCAGCATCCGCAGAATGACAGCACTTAATGCCTCTTTCTCTGCACAGCTCATTCCATGTTTTGGGCTTTCTGTCTCTTGGGGAGATGTTCTCCCCGCTCAAGCACTGACATCTGCCTACCAAGGGGTGCACAGTGGATTCTAGTGGGTTTTGCAAAAGCATAACGTTGCGTGTGAGTTGTCCAAGAGCACCTGCTTCAAGCGAGTTCAGTATGTGAAAATAACATCACCTCGGTGTAAATTACACGCAGGTGGATGCCTCTGGCTGGTGAGTGAAGCAAGTTGTCTTAACACAAGTGAACAAACGTAAGTGATTTTAATTAACATGATTTTGGAAATGGTTTCTCTGATCCGCCTCGATGACTCAGATCTTTTAATAATGACAGTTCACCAGTTGTGTTGTTTTGTTTTCACCCCCCGAGTGTTTTAACTGCTCACATTTCTTAGTGTGATTCCCCTGCCCTCCCTGTATTTCAGCTCTGGGGAAGCCTCTCTGAGTCCCAGGCACAGAGGTCCAACGTGCCCGTGTGTGCCCCGCTCTCCCTGGCTGACCATCACTGCACTCAGGCTGTCCTCATCCCCTCGCTTAGCTGATTCTGCCGTAAATCACCCCAATCTTGAAAACAGCTTGTTAAATGAACAAATAGGTTTGAGTCAAGTGGCTGCTGGCCTGAAACTGGAACCCAGCGAAAATCTCCGGATACTCTCTCAGCAAGTGTAACCGAGCCATTAATTGCAGCGGAGAGGCAGAGAGAGGCCGTTCAGGGAAGGGTTAAATCCCGTGAGTGAGGCCAGCAAGGCAGCCACCGCTTTTAGGGTGTCTCCATCCCTTTTTTATGAGCCAGTATGGCCTGACAGCTGTCCTTGTGGTGACAGCTCTCCTGATTACAGCCAGTGTCGAACTGCATCCTGCTGCGGGTTATAAATCCTGCCTCCTTCCGATCAGCGCCGACCCTGGGTTTAATCGGAGGTTAAGTGGGGGCCAGCCGGCAGCGGGTCCTGCCGGTGAGCCGGTGCCTTCGGACTCGCTCTCCTCCAGGCTGGAGGTGGCAGTCGGTGCCAGGTTGAGCACAGCGTCCTCATTAAAAAGGCTGTTCGTCTGCAGCTCCTCTCCATCCATCCATCCATCCATCCATCCATCCATCCATCCATCCGTCCATCCGTCCACCTACCCGCCAGGAATACTAAAATCATAGCCACTGCCTCTCCCAGAGGAAATCAAGGCTTCTCCGAGTGCTGGCGGCCACGTGGCCATGGAGTGGGCAGGATCTGTATCCTCATGAGGAGCTCCGGCTTCCCTGCAAAGCACCATCTGTTTGGCTCTTTCTGTGCTGTGGGAGGAGACGCTGGAGGGAAAATAAATAATAAAAAAAAAGAAGGAAGAAAGAAAAAAAAAAGAAAATAAATTCATCATCTGAACCCTGAGGATTAATGGACTTGGAAGGCGAACTGCGCTGAATGGAAATTCATCTTCACCCGTGCCAGTGTCAGGGCTGCCGCTCTGGCCCTTGACAAATCGAGGGTCCCAGGGTGTGATAAATCCAGCAGCCGTGCTCGTCCTCAGGGATGTCCCCGGCCTGCTCGGGGACACGGGCTGCGCCTGCCAGCAGCACTGGACAAGGAAGCTGCCTTTCCCGTGCGGGCATCAGCTCCCCATCTCCTGGAGCTGCCACCGCAGCTCGCCTGGCGCCCCTGGAAAGCTGCTTTCTGCGAGGGTGCCGGGCCATCACCCTGCAACGTGCTTCCCGGCCCTTCACCTACACCCCCACGGGCTTCCTCACCAACGCCTGCCCCCTTTTTCCGCTCTGTTTTTAGCTTTTTCAGTATATAAATCACACGACGAATTTATTTTAATTAAATGTTGCTGCTTGTCGCTTTAGGTCAGTAGAAGACTGCAGAGTAATTCAAAAGGCACGCTGATTACTACATTTAACAGCAAAAAAAGAGTTAGTCGGTTTATGTTGTGAAAGCACTCAAAATATAATTAAAACCAACATGAGAGGAAGCTGCCAGGTTCACTGTCTTGTAAGGCAGATGGGGCTGAGGCAGTTATCGGCTTCACTAGGGTCTGCGTTAGACAGGCTTAAGGGAAAATGCAAGGACTGGGATTTGTGCTGGTATCAGCCAAGCCCAGCTCTTCAGTATTAAGGAGCTCCCCTGTTTTTCCTTGTTTTTAACACCCTTAGGTGGGGTTGGAGAGGAGCTGAAAGCTGCCAGCCTCTTACATCCCTGGGACAGGGGTCAAATTTGATTCTATCTTGGCAGAATAAATCAGGACTGAAAAAACAGTTGCTAGCAGAGGTGTGAGTTAGGAATAGCGGTGATGTGCTGGTACCGGCTGTCCGTGAGCACGGGCACGGTCCCCTGGAGCTGGTGCTCAGCGAAGGGCTGGCTGGCAGCTCAAAACCATCCAAGTTTTCCTCAAGGAGAAATGACGGATGAGAGCCGGGAGTGAGGCAGGACTGACGATGTCCTGCCTGGGAGGTTCAGGAGGCAGGTGAGGGGCAGGGGTTTATAAAGGTGTTATAAATACATTATAAATTCTGAGTACAAAAGCAGGCAGGGAAGGCTCTTCGGGGCTGTCTGCGGTGCCACAGCAGCGATTTGGGGCCTGTCAGCAGTCCTGGACCCGAAGGAGCGTTGGCACCAGGACTGCAGGCTCAGGGGTGGTGGTTGCACCAGTAACACCCCTTGAGGACTTCTGGCTTTCACTCTTTTTTTTTTTTTTTTGCTTTCCTTTGCGCTATTAAATCCAGAAGGCGAGTTGTACATTGAGTACCGAATACTGCTCTGAGAAATGATCTGCTCTGCCTGGCCAGGTGCTGAGATGGCATTTTCAGCTCTGGCACACACATGGGATCTTACCAGCTCCAGCTCTGCTCCAGAAACGCCCCTCGGCGCCACCTCGGGTCAGGATCCCCAGACTAACCCTTTCCTTTCTTCCCTCCAGCTGCCGCCTGCGAGTTTTTGGATATTGTGGAGCTTTTGCTGAAGTCGGGAGCCGACCCCACGCTCCGGGACCAGGAGGGCTGCTTGCCAGAGGAGGTGACAGACTGTA